CCCCCCCATCTGAACACATCTTAGTACCTGTCCCTTCACGTCCAGTAGGGGCATTTAGATACTGCTGAACTATTGCCCCCCCCCCAAACCCTTTGTCAAGCAATTAACTAAATCCGGTTAACACATACACTCGAAATTCTCTCCCCTAACTCCAACAGAGAGTAGCTCCAATACGCTTAGATCTGCTTTTATCTTAAGCCAAGTGGGTCTACATCCATTTAACACAGTATTTGCCTCGTAACGGGTTGCGTTTAAGTGAAATAACAAATGATTGCTAATTCAGTGCAAACAGAAATTCAGTTGCTAAATCCACGGCTACTCTAAATCAAAAACTGTATTGTAGTTATCTCATAGAAACTTCGGATTGAATTGGAAATGTTCACCAATATCTCCGAACACTTAGCACGGTCTGAACTTGAAGGTCAGCTCAAGATTAAACCCACTATGACTCCGGATATGCAGGACAATGCTAAAAAATGGGGGAAAATTGACACTTCGATCAAATAGCATCTGAAATAAACTAAATGAATCGAGTCATAACTAGCACATTTCAACTTAAGACCAGAGTGAAAGCCACACACACACACCCTTTGCTGTTGCTGCATATAGACCCGATCATCCATCGGTGGTGGTGGAGGTCCAGGCTGAGCATGCTGGTTCTGAGGTGGTGGTGGTGCTGGTCCTGCTGGCATCATACCACTACCAGGCCCCATGGGTGGTCCCATGTAGGCATTTGGTGGTTGTGGCATCGATTGGTGGGGCGGACCACGCATCGGTTGGCCCTGAGAAGAGGGAGGAGGAGGATAGGAGTGCTGTTGCTGGTCAGAAAATGCTCCCATATTTGGTGGTGGTGGTGGTGGTCCACCACGATGCTGTTGGGGTGGTCCTCCTGACTGTTGTGGTGGGGCAGATGGATTACTGCTGCTACTGTTGGCCTGATCGGCTATTGTTGCCAAGTAAATGAGATTCTTGTGGAGAAGTTGAAGATTCTGTTGCAATTCATGACTGTTATTACCCGCTTGTTGATTATTTATTATGCTGCGAATTAGTTGGACATTGTCATCAAGAATCTGGAAGAACCACATCAAGAATCAGATATGAGGAAAGCGATAAAATGTTAATTTATCAGATCGAAGGCAAGAGTCACCCTCGTCCCCTTCTATTTCATTTTTTAAGTGTAAATTGAACAATTCACGACATTTAATTTCTCTGACAACCAGTTTGGTAAAAGATGCATTATTCTATACGAGTGCAAATATTAAATAATGACCTGCTGATAAAAGAAAAAATGTCATTTTAGAAAGGTTTATTAAGACCCATTAGACCGAACACAAAAGGGTTTTGCTGACTGATTACGAGGCTTCTTTAGATGTTCTATTCCGTTTTTCTCCAATGCCATTGGTAGCACGTGAAAATAAATTTCTTTACATAAATTCAAAACCTAAAGATAAGACATGTTCCATCAAATTAAATAATTGTGCAAAAATGTAAAAGTAGTATGGTATATGTAAAAGGTGCACATAGGAAAGCAAAAGCTAAATATACAAAAATACAAAGAACTACTCAAAACTATGCCAATTACAAATTTGATACGATATTTTTTTATTATCAAATTCATGTGCTTACTTTTTGAATAACGTTGGTGTTAACCATTGGTTCACGCCTAGAAGGTGTAGATGTAGGTGGGTAGTACATATTCTATAATATGTAGAAAGGGAACCTGTAGTTCAACAATGGTAAAACCAAAATACCAAAAATGATAAGTGGCTAAATAATTATACCTCGAACGATTAGTAAATCACCCTCATGTATATCTGGGACATTAAATGAAAAGAAACAGAACAATGAAAAACCAACCAAGAAAGATACCAATGGAGCAGTTTAAAGTATCCCTACAAACTAAACAAATTAAAAACAAACTTAATTTATTACAGACAACTATTCGGCATAGACTTCTAAATGGATAGATAATAACCAATTATATAATAATTAGTACGAATATTTATTTAACTGTTTTTTCCTTACATCATTACCTAGCAAGAAGTTATTCTTCAATATACCATACTTAAATTAAAATTAATGATTCCCTTAGCAAAATCCTTATAAATGGATTTTCAAAGAATTTTTTTCTATAGTTTCTGACGACAGGCATGAATTGATTGGCTGTTTAACCAGGTTGAGCTTTCTCTTAATGAAAATATTCGCTTAAATTTATTTGCAAAAGCATATGCCCTTTGAATTTAGTTTATATAGAAATGCATCAATGATAGTATTAGCATAATTGGTGGAACCTGAAGTAATTCAGAACACAGCTCAATTGAGATTTTCTGCATAATTGTTCTTTCAAATTTAAGAACAAAGCCATTAAAATATTTTCCCGTCAAATGTTTAATTCCTCGCCCAGATAAAATTTTCACTACATGGCAGGTAATTTCTCAGGCTAACTTAAAGTTTTTTGGTTTTTGACCTATCCCAAAAGCAAAAATTACAAAAAGGAATTTTGGTGAAACACTGATAAATCCACCACCTTAATACATCTAAGGAACAATGATTGAGCATGTGAGGTAGTTTATGCCAAGGGAGGGGGGAGGGGGTGTGAGAAGACAAACTTTCGATCAAATTATTTTTAAGTTTGCAGATATTTTTAAATGAAAATACATGGAAATTAGGGAAGGCTAACGTAATAACAAATAACTACCATATCTGCTTAAAATATATAGAGTGTTTAAATTGAAATAGATTCGTTAGTATTTAAATTTGAAGATTATGGAATTTACTTTTTTTGTTAGTACTTGAACATATTGTCTCGATCATTTTAATATTAAGAAATTCTTGGAGTTACATTTTGCTCTTTTTGTATTGACATTCCACTCACCAAGATTTACACTTTGTATTCCTTTCAGTTAAATAAATAAAAGGTATTTCATTTCGCATCTAAAACCATAACAAGTTTGCTATTTTCCGACAATTAGAGTTATATTGAGACGCATATTTGTAAAAGCATTATTTAATAAAGATTTATTCCCCGATTAATAAAACGCAGAAGTGACGTGTGAAGAGAATAACAAATCCGAAACCGTATAATATAACCTTTACAAGAAGATGATTTAAGGGCCTTGTTCAAGTGAAACTGTAAAACTTTCCTCGAAACTGTCCAACTTTGTGGATGATAGCAAAGAAATTATGGGAGTTTTCTCCCCGTTAGTGTAATAACGTTTTAGGAAAGAAGGTTTTGCTGCGTCCTCATTTTAATTTCTGAGTGGGTTAGTATTGTTGCGCATAAGTTACAAGCATTACCTGTCTAAAGTATGTAGCGGATTGCTACTTTATTAAAGCCTGACTGACT